GGGATTTGTCCTGCTCCCCCCCCCCAGGCCCAGCTCTCAGATCTTAAGGGCTGGTTGTTTCCAGCCAATAGGAGCTAAGAGATTGCTGGGGTCAGTTCCTATTGGCCGGTTGCTTCTGGCCAATCGGAGCTGAGGATTAGGCTGGGGGCGGGGAGATTGTAGGAAGCCTCCCCCTGCTGCAGGGATGCAGGGAGTGAACTTTAAGCTCCATGCCTGGGGGTCTAGCAGGGGGGTTTGCCCAGCCCTGACCTAGCTCATCCCTGCCCGGTGTCTGTCCAACCTGCTCTTATATAGCTCCGGAGATGGGGATTCCACAACCTCCCTGGGCAATTTATTCCAGTGTTTGACCCCCCCGGCAGGCAGGAAGTTTTTCCTAATGTCCAACCTAACCCTCCCTTGCTGCAGTTTAAGCCCTTTGCTTCTTGTCCTGTCCTCAGAGGCCGAGGAGAATGATTCGAGGCCTAGAGAACATGACCTATGAAGAAAGACTGGAAGAATTGGGCTTGTTTAGTTAGAAAAGAGCGGACCGAGAGGGGACGTGGTAGAAATCTTCAAGTTCCTAAAAGGGTTTTACAAGGAGGAGGGAGTAAAATTGTTTTTGTTGCTCTTCTCTGGACCTTTTCCAATTGATCCACATTTGTCCCGAAACGTGGTGCCTGGAACTGGACACAACACTCCAATTGAGGCCTAATCAGCGCAGAGTAGAGCGGAAGAAGGACTTCTCCTGTCTTGCTCACCACACTCCTGTTCATGCAGCCCAGAATCATGTTTGCTTTTCTTGCAACCATATCCACGTAGCCAACTCCTGAGGGGAGTTAATCAGCTGTAAACACAATCCGGTGTTATGAGGAGAAAAACCCGCCAGCGTCATGACCGGTTACAAAGCATGGCAAGTGGTCAAGGCCGCTGTCAAGTATCCTGTGAACAGCGGCTACAGGCAGCAAGCAACTTTTGGGTTGGCTTTTCATACTGGCACATTCCCATTGGCCCTGCCAGCAACGGCAAAATGTCACCTGTCTTCAAAAAAGTAAGTGAAATCATTTTTAAATTGAAGGGCGACATTTTCAAAAGTGGCCTCAGATTTTGCGTTCCTCCTTGTTTGTGTCCATCGTAAGATGCGCTGGGCCTGATTTCCATCAGGGCTCCAGCAACTCCATCTTTTAGCACCTCTGAGACCTCCCACCTCAACAGGTGTCCATTTGGCCCTGCAAAGAGGGAAGCCCCCAATATTACTGACCATGTGTGAGCATCTGGAGGCGTGTCTCTGAGTCTTACAGTCGCAAAAGAAACATTCTGGATGCAGTCCTGCCTTATTTGGTCTGCAAACAGAGAAGGTGACACTAGCACTGAATAGCCTGGCCCCACCCTCCCATTCATCTCAATGAGGTGTTAACTCTGAACCCTAATGCTGAGAGTTGAAATGTCACTTTCACATCAGTTTGATACTGAGAATCTTAGCTCCAACATGCAGCTTCTCTGGGCTAGAAGTGAAGTTCAGGGCTGTGGAGGGTTCTTCAGACTGTGGGTGGAGGTTGCGATTGTATAACACCACACCCCTGCCCTCAGTCTGATCACTGCTGTAAGAGTAATGCTGGAAACATGTTAATTATTTATTATTTTATTTATAATATTAAAAAAATGTTCAAGTGTTAAACAGTCAAGAGTTCAGACATTCTGACAATCCAGAGCAAATGGTTACAATCATCTGATGGCAAATTAGCAGTTTCCATCTGACCCCACGTGGATGAGGAATAGCGGGTTTAGTTACTTTATTGCTAAAAGTTAAATGAAATACACGGTCAATTGTTGTATTATCTTCTCAGTCACAGCTCCCCATGCATCCAATCTACAGTGTCTGAAATGCAAAGGACATGCAGAAGTGAAAAGATACAAAGGAAGAAGGCCGGCTACAATGTAAACGGGGTTGCTGCGGTGGACTGGAAGGAGGGGCACTTTCACATGTGAATTTTCTGCCGCTTGGACACACGAGTCTCTTAGAGCCACGGGTCCGGCGGCCAGGGCTGCCCCAAACACGGCACCCATCTTGGATAGCAAGTTATTATGTAACATGGCACATTGTGCTAACAACTTCCTTTACAATCCACGGCACATGGGTACAGGAGAATCCACTTAATGGCTTTCCTGATGCATCGCCCACCTTTCATTGACCAGGGCAGGACTTTACAGTGACTTTAATTAGGTATTCATTGACTAGGCAGCATGCGCAATGCGATCTGGAGTTGATGCACAGCAGTTAGCAGGGCTACCCGGGCGATCCTGCTATCACCTACCTGCCTCATTCTTTGCTCTACTCTTCCGCATGGTCACAGCCAATACAAGACCCTGCTGGAGCGCCAGTTTCTTGCAATAGGGCCGTCTCTTAACGCACTTTACCGGCCGTGAGTGCTTATCTGCAACGAGCTGTCTCCCTTCCCCTCGGGGGCTGCACCAATGGAGTGGATTCAACCATGTATAAAAACATAACGTTTGACCACATTCATGTAAACGTTTTATTCATTTGATTACAACTTCACAAAATGGTGCCAAAATGAGTCAGTTTTGCTTGGGACCCCACGAGTAACATGATCAGCAACTATACGGTAAGGGCTGTTGCTACTGTATGCTTTTTGTTCCTCTTCCTACTATGTTGCAAAAAAAAAAAAGCCCCATTATTTCTGCATTCTGGTATGTAATTTCTCATCCCCAAATAAGCAAATACTACAACTATTTTACTGGGCAAGGCAGATACTGTTTAGGCAGAATTAATGAGAAAAATACACACACGTGTCATTTGTCTGTGTGTTATAACAATATTTTAAAAGACAAGATCACACACATCCAGAGACGGAACAAAGTGGAGAATGCTGGTTTTTTTCAAATGGGAAAGTGCCCTTAACACTTGAACAAAAAAACCAAACAAACTATGATCTTTAGAATGCTACTGAAACGTAATCCTCAGTACGGACTCTGGCATTAGCATACAGCAAAAAAAGGCACCACGATATTTTTTTTTCTATTTTTAAGTAGTCAAAAATTGGCCCATCTTTTATATTATTTATTTCTTTTCTTTTTGTTTGTGTCCCCCCCGCCCACCCCCTTGGAAGCTGTAAGTCAAGATGTTACATATAAATAGAGATTCCCTATAAAAAAGTCTTTGCTGTTAGCTATTATAAGACAACTTTGCTAAAATGAAAATAAAACATTTGATTTGTTATATTTTTTTTCCTCTTTTATACAAAATAAAAATCTCTCTCCTCCTCCTCGAGACCGGGGTGTTTGCGGGTGCGTGAGTTTGTGTGGCTTCTAAAGAGGAGCCGAGTCCTGTTTGGGTCTTGTGTGCGTCAGTCTGCTGTGTCCGCTGTCCATTTGAGCGCTGCGTCTCTCGAAGGAATAGTAAGTCCTGCTGTCTCCCGGCCGGTAGAGCGGCGGGGAATCTATGTTCATTGCCTCAGTGTTCTGCATGCTTAGGAACGGGGTGCTCTCCGCCATGAGCTCCTCATCCGACTCGCTGTAGGAAGCACTGCTTCCCGAGAAGGAGTCTCTGACCGTCCGGGCTCTGTGCGAGACCTGCCCGTTGAGTCTGGATCTTTTCCACCGCCTGTTGTTGCTCGCTGTTTTCTTTGGTTGTTCTAGCGCAGTGATGTACTCCTGGGTGGTCTCGTACTCGTCGTCCTCCGTGATGCGGAAGGGGCTGGACGGCAGGCTCCCCATGCTCTCGTTCAAGTAGCTCTTCCTTTGGTAGTAGCCGTCGTACCGCTGCATCTCCTGCAAGGGCACCTGGTAGCGTCGCAGCAACGGCTGCTGCTCTTCCACGCGGAAGCTTACGGGCGCCGCTGGCGGGAGGGACACGGCGTGAGCGGAGTTGGGGGAGGTGATCTCGAAGGTGGGGACCTGGGCAGCAAGTGAGTAATGGAAGTCGACGGGAGAAAGACGGGCTGGTGTTGTCAGAGCAGACACGTACCTAAAAAGAGAAACAACACGTTACGGTCCCGCTTAACAAGAGTTTCCCTGGTATAATTCTTCTCCACTAGAGTACCTGACCCTGGGCTCCAGACACCAGAGCCACAGAACGAAAACATCCACACCTTTGTGTAGTGACACCCCACGCCCCTTGTGCAATAACTGACACACCCGGGCCCCTCGCATGGCAACTGACGCACCCGCGCCCCTTGCACGGTAACTGACACGTCCGCATCCCTCGTGTGGTAACTGACACACACATGTGCCCCTTGCACGGTAACTGATGCATCCACACTCCTCACATAGTAACTGACACACAGGCGCCCATCACACAGTAACTGACGCACCCACGCCCCTTGCATAATAACTGACACATCTGCATCCCTCACACAGTAAATGACACACACATACACCCCTCGCACGGTAACTGACGCACCTGCACCCCTCACATGGTAACTGACATACACGCACCCCATCACACGGTAACTGATGCACAGGCGCCCCTCGCACGGTAACTGACACACACGCACCCCTCGCACCGTAACTGATGCACAGGCGCCCCTCGCACGGTAACTGACACACACGCACCCCTCGCACCGTAACTGATGCACAGGCGCCCCTCGCACGGTAACTGACACACACGCACCCCTCGCACCGTAACTGATGCACAGGCGCCCCTCGCACAGTAACTGACGCATCCGCACCCCTCACACAGTAACTGACGCATCCGCACCCCTCACACAGTAACTGACACACCCGCACCCCTCACACAGTAACTGACACACCCGCACCCCTCACACAGTAACTGACACACCCGCACCCCTCACACAGTAACTGACACACCCGCACCCCTCACACAGTAACTGACACACCCGCACCCCTCACACAGTAACTGACACACCCGCACCCCTCACACAGTAACTGACACACCCGCACCCCTCACACAGTAACTGACACACCCGCACCCCTCACACAGTAACTGACACACCCGCACCCCTCACACAGTAACTGACACACCCGCACCCCTCACACAGTAACTGACACACCCGCACCCCTCACACAGTAACTGACACACCCGCACCCCTCACACAGTAACTGACACACCCGCACCCCTCACACAGTAACTGACACACCCGCACCCCTCACACAGTAACTGACACACCCGCACCCCTCACACAGTAACTGACACACCCGCACCCCTCACACAGTAACTGACACACCCGCACCCCTCACACAGTAACTGACACACCCGCACCCCTCACACAGTAACTGACACACCCGCACCCCTCACACAGTAACTGACACACCCGCACCCCTCACACAGTAACTGACACACCCGCACCCCTCACACAGTAACTGACACACCCGCACCCCTCACACAGTAACTGACACACCCGCACCCCTCACACAGTAACTGACACACCCGCACCCCTCACACAGTAACTGACACACCCGCACCCCTCACACAGTAACTGACACACCCGCACCCCTCACACAGTAACTGACACACCCGCACCCCTCACACAGTAACTGACACACCCGCACCCCTCACACAGTAACTGACACACCCGCACCCCTCACACAGTAACTGACACACCCGCACCCCTCACACAGTAACTGACACACCCGCACCCCTCACACAGTAACTGACACACCCGCACCCCTCACACAGTAACTGACACACCCGCACCCCTCACACAGTAACTGACACACCCGCACCCCTCACACAGTAACTGACACACCCGCACCCCTCACACAGTAACTGACACACCCGCACCCCTCACACAGTAACTGACACACCCGCACCCCTCACACAGTAACTGACACACCCGCACCCCTCACACAGTAACTGACACACCCGCACCCCTCACACAGTAACTGACACACCCGCACCCCTCACACAGTAACTGACACACCCGCACCCCTCACACAGTAACTGACACACCCGCACCCCTCGCACCGTAACTGACACACCCACACCCCTTGCATGGTAACTAATACATCTGCGCCCTCATGTAAATGTCATCCGGAAGAACCAAGTGCCAAGGGGTTTTACAGACTGTAGGGCTGATTTCCAAAAGGGCCTGCTCTATCACACTACCCCGAGGGCACGTGAGCGAGTGCACCATTGTTCTGAACGGAGGTTGTCGGGCGCAGCACATACGGTACCATCAGCGCCGGGGGAAGGCCAGGAGAGCTGACTACAACGTCCCAAGCCCGGGGCCAAAGGAGATGAACTGGACAGGCAGCAGGCCGGGCTGCTGGAAGCAAGGGGAGACAGGAAAGCTGGCCTATTGCTTCTGGACCCCTACGAGGGGAAAGCCAGACAGATGCCTGCGCTGGGGACAAGGGAGGTAACGGCTAGTGAAATCTGCCTGGCCAGAGAAGAAAACCAGAGCGTGGCCACGCGGGTCCCGATGAGCGAGTAAGGAAGTAGCAGGGCAGGGCAGATCCCACCAGAGTAAAAGTGCAGACCAGGCCCTTAGCTAAGAGAGAGCGGAGAGGGCCCGGGAGCCAACACGGACGTCTGAGGCGGATGTAGCTAATCCGGAGGTACCACAGGAGAGTCAGTGTGAACCTGCTGCTGTTTACAGTGGAGCCTGTCCGTAGAGGCCACCAAAGGAGCAGCGGTGTGGGTACGCCGGGTGCCCAACAGAGCAGCACTGTCTCTATGGGCTGCTAAGCCGGGATGGTGGCTGGCTGGGGCCTCTCCACACGGATCTCGCTTGGCCAGGAGGAGATCACGTGAGAGGCAAGTCACGCGCATCTGCTGCGCCCTACGTCCCACTGCCGGCTCCTGCCCCAGCGATTGTGAGCGCCCGGCCGGGCAGTCCAGGGAGGAGGCTGATCTAGGGCCAAGCCTGCATCGCAGGCAGGGCCTCCCTGGTCCCCGTGGCGG